ACGGCAACTTGTATATCAACAAGTTTAAATGTGGAAGTAGAAGGGGGTTTTTTTTTTTTACTCTCCCAATACTTTCAGGCACTCCATCTACGTAGCTTTGCTGATTGTAGCTTAATTTATATTACTGATTATATTTCACCGAAAGGTTTAGTGGATGGTGATAAGAATATCTAGGCTTTGTTAGATTCCCAGCTAGAAAAAAATTACAGAATAATACCCTAAAACATCAGTGACTTTCTTAGGAGATTTTGATGCTGGAATTGGAGGAAATAATAGTACAGTACATTCAACTATATTCTGTTGTTACCCTCAGGAGACCCATGGTTCAAGAGTTTTGTTAGCGCATAAAGCTGACATCTGTGGTGCTGAGTCTTGTCCAGTCCAGGCAGTCCAAATAACTCACATGTACACAGGCAACTTCTCCCGACACCAAAGTATATTTACAACCAATCATAGCAGATATTGTATCATCCATGACTCAGCATTACTCAGCATTCTGGCACACCTGTACAATCATGGATGCTCATTAATACAAACGGTGTTCTGCCTGGTTAGAAAATTATTCTTGACAAGTTTTCCAATGGGAGAAAGATCTGAAAGTGATCACCAGGCTCTGGTTATAGAAATGGTTGATCCTGGAGCACCAGTGGTGCTAAAAGACAGATTTTTATCCTCATATACCCACCAAGGCCCAGTGTAGGCACAGATGGGATTCAAAGTTCAAAGCAATATAGAAGATCTATTATATAGCCCTACATTAATTGTGTGGAGAAAACAGTTTCTGAAGGAAGAAGCAAAAGTAATGGAAGGTTGTGATGCTCTTATGCTAAAGCCAATATGAAGTAAATTGTCATGGAGCAAAATGTAAATCCAACACTGAATGGTTTGATGAGGAATGTAAAAAGAAGAAATGAGAACTAAATCACAATGATCTCCAGTCCTTAGATCTGGTACAAACTCAGAGTGTGAGGGAAGGAAGGCTCAAAATATTCCCTCTAAAAATATCATCACTGAACAAGAAGTGGGTTTCAGGAAAGGTAGGAATATAATTGATCAATTCTATCTCTTATGGCAAGGTGCCAAAGAAACATCTACAGTGGTGGCCCGCATAGCGACGTTAATCCGTTCCAGGATTAACGTCGCTATCCAGATTCGTCGCTATGCGGGGGGGGGGGGAACCCATGGGGGGGGGCCCATAGGAACACATTAAACTCCGTTTAATGCGGTCCTATTGGGGAAAAACTCACCGGTAAGCGAAGATTCCCCCATCCGGCCGCCATTTTCGCTGCCCGGTAAGCGAGGGCAGGGCGCAAAAATGCTGCGGGCGGCCATTTTCTGCACCCGGCGGCCATTTTGGACCCGCTGGTCAGCTGTTTTCTAAACATCACACTGCGATCGCAAAAAACGCGTTGCTCTGCAGATCCGTCGTTAAACGGTGCACTCGTTAAGCGAGGCACCACTGTATATGTAATTTTTTTAGCTCTTACAGCAGCACTTGACAGAAAAAAACAAGAAAGGCTGTGGGTCAAGCTTTGCAACTCCAATATTGATAGCTGATTATTTACTCTTAATGTTAGAGTGTTGATACATGTACGAAATTGAGAGTTGGCCTCAATCGCCAGCTAACAGATCAAATTGCAGGGCTGTTTATTAGCTCCCACTCTTTTTAATATTTATATGATATAATTGGAACTCAAAGCCTAGAATATTTTCTTTTTTCAGTTTCAGCCTACAAAATGTCAGTTTTGCTATATGCAGATGATATAGTTTTAATATCACACACTCAAATGAAAGCTTTTGCCACAATTTGTTGTAAGAAATATTTTCAAATAGATTAAGCCAAAACAAAGCTGTAGTGTTTGAGACCTAAAGCATAAGTGGTCCCTGGATGGCCAAGTGATTGAACAACTGAAATATTTTAATTATCTTGATGTATGGGGCAACTGGTCAAACCATCTGGCTGTACCGGTTACAAGACATGCAGAAGCAAGTTCTGAGCTTTTCAAGGCTCACTCAGCCTTCCATCCTCTCAAGATCATTTACAAGATCTGTAAATGAGTACCCAGCCATCGGGGTGGGGTGGGGGTGGGGTTATGTGTAGCTTGCATAATTAACTTGCTAACTGCTAACCTTTGACTTCATCCCACAAGATTTGCAAACAAGAACTTTGGATCAGATCAGCAAATGTATAAATGAAAATCTGAAGGATATTTATACTCAGCAATTTAAGAATTAAATTCTTAATTAAGAACTCATTACTTCCCCCTTATTTGCATTTTTGAAACTGTTCCACAGATTTATGAATTATCTACATGAACTGTCAACCCCTCCCTTTAAAAAAGCATTTTTGGCACCAAGATTTCAAACTACGCCATTGCAATGCATGGAAGGACAGTATACCCAGATACTGAGATCACAACGTTTTTGCCTGTGTGGACCACAAGCAGTATAGGATATACATTATTTACTGCACTACTCCTTATATACCAAGGTTAGGACAAAATTTATAGCAACTTTGATACAGGATATATTGGATAAGTGACCAAAACAAAATCATCTATCTGTTATTTCATATTAACAAGGCAATAACAGACAAGAGTGGTGAGATCTGCAATAGCTGCCCAGAGGTTAAGGAAGGAGTACATAAAGGTCCACAAGAATAATTTAAATGACTTATTTTTTAAAATTCAGATGGTGTGTGCATTTTAATCTTTTTGTATTTTGTTTTTAACCCAGCATTCTGGTGAACATGCATATTTGTACTTTTTAATCTGCTAGCATTGTTTGTTAAGCTGGTACCGTGCTGGTGTATATATTATTTGTACCTATGTTTTAAACTGGTGGAAGCTAAATGATCAAAGTGGTCAAAACAGCAACATCAAAGTACTTCAGATTCCCCACTGTGCCTCCCAGACGAGCCAGCCTGGGTAGCTTCAGGGTACCAGGGTAAACCCAAGTGAACAAAATAGTAAACCACCTATAAAACTCTGGAAGGGGTTGCCATCTGTCAGCATTGACCTGAAACCCATAATTATTGGAATATATTTTAAAGTATGTATTTTAAAACTAATTATTAATAAATCTTAATCCATGCTAATACTAACTGTAAAACTTTTTTACTTTCTTGTTTTTTCTTCTTTTGCTTGAATTTTAGTTCCATGTCTGTGAGCCGCCATATTGAATGTATTGCTATACGGGGTCTTGTGAGGTTTTAAGTTTTTGTCAGGATATTATGACCCAAAATAGAGAATTTATTCTTAGTACATGAACCAAAGTTTACTAACAGGCATCCATCTTGAAACAAGTGTGCAGCCACAGAGTCTCACGTCCCAAATCTTGACCCAGAATATTGCTCACACTAAAGGGGTGGCATATAAATCAAATAAATAAAAGGTTTGCTTACTTTGCAAATATTCCAAACAACAATCTATAATATGCAGTACACCGTATAATCCTGCGTGTTTAATAATAATAATAATTATATGCCATCAAGTCAATTCTGATTTATGGTGACTGTTTTCAAGGTTTTCCAGGTAGAAAGTACTCAAGAGTTATAACTTCCCTTCTTCTGGGGGTGACCTAGGACTGTGCAACTTGCCCAAAGCCACATAGGCTGGCTGTACTCACAAGGAGACACAGTGAGGAATCAAACTCCCAACCTCTGGTTCTGTAGCCAGCTACCTAAACCCCTGAGATATCTAGCCAACATGTTAGCTGTCATTATGTGCTGTCAAGTCATTAGCAACTTAGAGCAACCCTAACAGGGTTTTCAAGGTGAGATATTTAAGAACTTGCTTTATCACTTCCACTCCCCCGTTCAGTTTCCAAGTCGGGATTCAAACCTTGTTCTCCAGAGTCCTAGTCCATCACTCTATCCACTACACCAGAAACAAATCCTTGGGCTGGCTACTCTTTTTTTCAGCTGATCCTACCTCATGAGGTTATTCTGAGGATAAAGTGAGAAGGTAGCCCTTTACATCTCCTTGAGCTCATTGGAGGTAAGAGGGGGTATAACTGAAACAAGCAAACAAATAAATTACAGCCAGGATTTGATTTTCAGAGCTATGTAAGGTTGGCTCTGGTCAGTACAGTATTTGGACGGAAGATTATCAGGAATCTCCAGGCAAGGACGGAGAATAACTCTCTATGGCGTCTGGATATGATAAATATAGATATAGTAAAGATACACACATATATAAATGAACACAATGGAAAGGAAATTCCGTTTTTTTTAATATGTTAGGAAATTTGAAACACAGACTTCTCTGTATACCACACATAAACCACACCACTGATATATATGAACATTGTCGTATATTGTTATATGAGCTCAATATGGTGTGATTTATGTGTTTTTTAACAGGTGAGGGAAGCCCCAGTAGTTTATAGACCAACCATGAGGAGACTGTACTGTATATTTCAACTCTATCCTTTCCTTCAGCTTTGCAAAATGAGGTTTTGATTTTGCCATTTCAGGGACCTGTTTTCTAACAATCATTTGCAACGGAGGAAATAAAGGAGGGCGCTTCCATTCGCCCGCCCTTCATTGCTATTTTTTTTCTCCCCCTCTCCAAAGAAAGAGAGAGAGAGAGAGAGAGGAAAGAAGAAGAGGGAGGGAAAAGCCAAACACAAACACCGGCTTCCACTACAACCAAAAGGAAATATATATATATATTTAAAGGGCCCCACTTCCTCCAACGGAAAAGATTTAAGCCCATGTTTTAATTGCCATTTTCCCTCCTGCCTCTCGCGTCCCTTCCCTCCCGCGCTTCAAAATGGCGGGAGCCTTTTCTTACACCGGGAGGAAAAGAAGCAGAGACCGAAAGCCCAAGATAATCAGGAGTCGGGCCGTCTGCATGAAATGAGGTTTTTTAATATATATATAAAAAATACCACAACCCATCCTTCTTCCTTGGGCAATGCCACACATACACACACCCCTCCCCCTCAAGCCTTTCCATAGAGGAGCCCGCCTTAAAGATCCTGGAGATAAGATTTACCTCACCCAGAGGATGTTTTCCAGGTCAAGCCAACGTCGCTCCCGAAGAAAAACAGCTGCAAGGGCAGCAAAAGGAGCCTTTTGCAAAAAAATTTTTTAAAAAGGCAACAATCCTTCAGAGAAAAGGGATTTGCAGCCCAATAAAAATCGGATTTTTGGTAATACCCGAAGAAACGGCCACCAGCACGGTAGACGGGCGGACAAGACTCCCCTTCCGGCCTTACTTCCGCCGACCGCAAAGCATGCTGGGAGTTGTGGTTCAGCAGAGTATGTGTGTGGGGGAGTGGGTGGGAGGTTAAAGTGACGTCATCCGCACGCAACCCAGCGCGGAGGTGCTAGAGGAGGAGAGAACGCGCGTGCGCAGTGTTAACAAGCAGTGTTATGAGTGAGTCTATGGGTTGCAGAAACAGGAGCATCCTATGTTACTCTGATGGATTACTGTTCTTTGTATCCTGGGGAGAAGGACCAGGGGAGGAGAGAGACCCTAGTCAGACTACTGACAAGAAGATCATATACCAGTTTTTTTGTTTAAGCACTATTTGTGCAAGATTTATTGCTTTCATTCCCTTACAACCTAAGACAAGGGTATCAAGAAGCGTCTTCGACACTCCATTCACAGGATACTCACACATAATCAGACCTCTTCCCTAACAGCTGATCAGTAAGAGAAATAGGGGAAACGTTGCAGCACTGATCAAAAGCAAAGCATGCTGCTTATATACCGCCCCATAGCGCTTCAAGCACTCTCTGGGTGGTTTACAAGTTAATTACGCAGGCTACACATTGCCCCCCCCCCCCGCGAGCTG